TATGTTTACCACTTTTCATAACCAAATATTTTTCTTGCTGACCAGGAAGGATGAGAAAGGGAAGTTTGTTGCTATTTCTATATTTAAATATTTGGAAGGTGACGGTGATGATTACTAGAAAGAAAGATGATCTTAACAGAGACAAAATTCCCAGCTATTTAAGGGAGCTGAGTCCCTTCTTGACTTAAAACCCAGGACGGGTATAGAAGGACTATCCAAAACAAGCCAGCTTCCAGGCAGCACACCAGCTGCAAAAGGGTAGAACCCAAGTTTGCTCCCTCAAGTTTTGCAGTATCAAAAATGGCAAGTTGTGGAGCCTGTGAAAAATTTGGAGAACCACATCTTCAGCCAGATCACATTCAAATCTTTAGCTCTCCTTTTTCTACCCCACAAAAAAAACAAAAACAAAAAAAAAAACACAACTGGAAAAATCCTCTCTAATGGAGGCTTTCTCCATCCTTAAGGCAGATACAAACATATGGAAGATTAATTAGTCCATGCATACTACAGAGCCCACATCCGCCATCTAAAATTAGAGCTGTCAACAACAAGCCCCACTGCAGTGCTAGTGGGCACAGGTATCCCTTGGGCATCTTGAAAAATCCCAGCCACGTTAAATAGTCTTATTCCAAATGGGAACACTGAACATCTTGAAAAATCCTTGAAAAATCCCAGCCACATTAAATAGTCTTATTCCAAATGGGAACACTGAGTCATGTAGGTTTCTTATTTCATGTTTCATAATCCTTCTACCTATTAAATAGCGTGGAGTGCTCTGTAAGAGCAGGTTACTTGAAGTCATCGGTAATCAGTAGTATGTATCACCATGTTTGGGTTGTTTGGGTTTTTTTAACATTCAAGTGCATAAAATATAATCCATGAGACAGACTAACTTTTGTGGGAGGCAACTTAAGTGTTTCATACTAAAAAACAAATCTGACCTGAACGTTGCTTCTGTCCTTTAAATGCTGGCAATCTCTTCTTTAGCATTTTTGCTAAAGATGATTGCTAAATGAATTAGACATTCATTTACCATTTTTGTACAGCTCTAAGTACTTTTGTTCAAGTCATTGCTCTGTATAATAGTTTTTCCTCTCCAGGCCAGTCACAAAGCACGTCACATATTCCACCTTGCTAAAAAGTCACTGGCTACTATTTATAGATTGTCCTCAAGATGAATTATTTTACGCTCTTTACTTTCATGCAGGAGGCTGAGATAAACTCGGTGTTGTCCACCACCTCAAACCTAACTGTCCTCGTGCCTTCTCTTCAAGCAATTGAAAATATGGATGAAGATGAGAAAGCCTTTTGGATGTCAAAGAGTAACATCCCAACTCTGCTGAAGTATGTTAATGATTTGGGGGTTGGGTTTTTGTTTTGGGTTTTGTTGTGGGTTTTTTTTTTTGGTGAGTAGAGGTTTATGAATTGCTTTCTATTCCAAACAAGAGTTTAGTCTGAAGCCTCTAAAGCAAGACAGCTCTTATATTTTTAAAGGAGGGACACAGGATTTGCCTTCTAGTTACAGTGGCATAAATCTTTGTAGCAACTCCACTGAAAACAAAGACATTATTTGTATTATGTCAGAAATGTTTAAAGGCCAAGCTAAGATCGGAACATAGCTGAACTAGGTATTGAACAAACAAATCCTGCTTTAAACCACAGTTTTAGATGCATTAAGCATATTTATCTGGAAAAAAAATACAAAACCTTCAAATCCAGTTAATTTCTTTTAGGTATCATGTATTGACAGGATCCTACAGCTTTGCTGATTTCCAGAATTTATCATCCTCCGATATGCTGCCAACATCTCTACAGAGCAACTTCTTACACTTGTCTAAAGAAAATGGGGTGAGATGACCTGCAAACCTCTGTGCTGTCATACGCCAAACCCTGACCATCACCGCCACTAGCTTTCTTGTATTACAAAGCCACCCAGACATTATGTACCTGTATTTAAAAAAGACCATGTCATAAAATGAAATTAATGTATCAATTATACTGGGCCCTCTGGGAGAAGCATTAACTTGATTTTCTCCACCATTTTACCTAGCTGAAATTTGTCCACAATATTATTTATTCCTAATGTCCCAGTAGCTGCTGCAAATGCTGGACAGCCAAACAGAAGTGCAGTCCCTGCTTGGAGCAGCCTGTTTGAACCAACTTAAGACAAAGAGCATCAAGGAAACCCAATAACTTATTTTAGGGAAATGGGAAGGTAGGAGGAAAGAGAGACACTGTGCACATGTCCACATATGCAACTCTATAGTCCCAAACCACCTGATGGTATTTTTAATAGTAAAGAACTACAACTGACAGCCCTTTCCCCTCAGTCTTTTTATTTAGTACTCCATGCTCTGAGAAGTATTTTGTGGGAATCCATATAGCACATTTAAGCAATTCGCCCCCCATTTCCCAAGGGAAAAAAAAAAAAAAACAAAAAAACAAATCACAAATGGGGTCCCTCAAAGCTGCACAGACACAGGAGCAAGTGAATCGGCACAGGAGCTCATCCTGACATGGGGTGGGGATGTGGGCACCTACCCCGAGTAACCTCCCCAGTGCAAGCAACTCCATGGCTTTGCCAGTCTGCACACTGGGACCTTCCCAGGTTGGGACCTTCCCAGTTGGGACCCTTCCCAACTTCACCTCCTGCACACGCTTCCCTGAGGGCAGGTGTGCACAGACACGAGCGGAGCAGTGCTGGAGCCCCAGGCAAGCATTTGGGAAGCAGTAGAAATCCATCACATGAACCATCAGGAAAGCGAACTGACAGGAAAATGCTGCCACTGCAATGCAAAAGCAAACCCTTTCTCCTTTCCCTCTTTCAGAGCCTCACCCTCGAGGGTGCTCACATCGTGGCTGGTGACATCACATCCACCAACGGGATCATACATGTTATCGATAAGGTATATGGCAGCATAGGGACTATTTGTTCCTCTGCACCACAAGTAGTGGAAAATAATTAACAACTCTTGGGAAAAAAAAAGTATTTGCACAGAACAGCATTTTCTCCTGCACCTGATCCTCGCAGCTGCTGCCATAACATGTGCACATGCACTGACGTGGGATATCTGCTCCCTTTTCAGGTTCTGACCCCTCTCCGCAGCACCGTCATGCCAAGGCTGCTGGCCCGCCTAGAGCAAATGCCCGATTACTCCATTTTCAGAGGCTACATTATTGTAAGTTTTCACATCCTTTTAAGGATAAAAGCAGTTTTCTGCTTTGTTTGCATCTGGACTGCTATCAGACCATCAGTGGTTGTTCTGATTTGTTTTTACGTGTTTCACAACAGCAATACAGCCTGGCAAATGAAATAGAAGCTGCAAACACATATACAGTCTTTGCCCCAAATAATGATGCCATAGAAAGTTACCTAAGGGATAAAAAGTCTGCTACTCTGGTACGTATTGCTCACAAGGCTTGTCTTAACAACTCCGTATCTCATCTCAGTTTCAAGTGGATGGATTGAGAGGACACAGAAATAGGAAGAGAGATTTGTTTTCCAGAAATCCATTAAGTTTGGTTTTGTTTTTAACAGCAGAAGAGGTGAGAGGGGGTGGTTCCACCTATATTTGACTGGCTCCTAAGAGCCTAGCTATTTGTTCTGGTTTCGTCCTTCTCTAGGTTATAACTGTACATTTTTTCCCTTTTTCTTCCCAAGCCCCCCACCCCACCCCAAGATGATCAGTACAGGAACAAGCAGTGAAATGAGTTTCCTAGGTGAACAAGTCCAGTCCTCTCTCATCACTGGCAACCCCACCATCAATAATGCCACAAAATATTCAGACTCCTCCTTAAAATTACCTAGATGCTTGCCCTGTCAGTTTCCTCTCCCCCAGCCACTTTCCACAGACAGTTTACAATCCCAATTTACAAGTACTGGTGGCCAGTCCCAGGGCTCAGAAAAATTTCTGGAATTTTTGTGGCTAGGAAAGTTTCCTCAGGCAACTCTGTCACTGCTGCACATTCCCAGGAGCCCCACACCAGGCTCATGCCTGACCTGGCCACCAGCTCCTCCCACTGGTATGGACACGTCCATCCCACCACCCCTGACAACGTCAGTCCTCATACTCGGAGCTAGTTTATGTTGTTCTGACAGCACATCTCTGTCCAGTTTATGTCCCTTTAGTCTTACACCAGGAAGATGTTTTAGTGGAAACAACTTTCTCTCTCTGTCAATTGTGCCCTGATGTATTTACAGGGCCAAGCAGCCTCCTTAATCCTGTCATTCTCCTCCCAAGACAAGTGATCCACTTCCTGCATCATCCCAGCACCTTTCTTAACATTTGTTCCTGTTCAAAGCAGTTTTATTAAACACAGGTATTGAGAGCCACATCTTGCAGAGGAAGCTTTGCCCATGGCTTGCTCAATGACATTAATACTTCCTTGCCTCTTCCATAAATATTTACCCTGCTGCACTCTGTCCCTACTTTCATGGTTTCCATTTACAGCCAGGAAGCTGAGGAGCACAGGGTTCAAATGACTCGTCCCAAAACATTTACCACCAACCAGTAGACTCACAGCAAAAGTTCTACTTGCTGCCTCACTGGAAGAATTCATGTGTATCAAGCTGCATCTGCTCAAATTACTTTTGAACGCTATTTTAGTTAGTTCCATGACACAGCGTCATCATTTCCATATGACTATAAGAAGCATTTATAACAAACTGAGAGATGCACAGGTAGCTTAAGACATTAATCCCATTCAGGTTACACACTTACAGAAATATTTTTAATTTCCACTACTTACCAGTATGTTTTTTCCTGTCTTTCTTCCATCCTTCCAACCTTGGCTGGTGTGGCAATCTGGCAAAGAAAATCAGAAAACAACCATAAGATTAAAGCTGCTTAAGCCTTACCCTCTTCATGAAACACCTTTGGAGCTCTGCTGCAGAGGGAAGAGCTCAGCACAGGGAAGCAAGATTTCTTCACCCCATTTCTTGGCCTCACTGGAAGCAAGATTTTGTTGTCACTCTGCTGGTGATTAAAGACAGAAGTGGAGATGCACGAGAGTTAACTCTTACTCCAAAACATACAAGTCAGGAGGATTAAATAGGGCTGGACATTGATGGAGGCCTATGCCTTAGTATATTAGCTCTATCTTAATTTCCACCTTCTTGCCTGCAGATATTTCTTTGTGAAATCTGTGGAAAACAAAGCAGAATGAGTCCCACCCTATGAGATGCAAAAACCACTAGCTTCACCCTGTGGGCAGAGCCAGGCAACATCACAAGTCTTGCAACCTGGGGTTGTTTTATGCTTTCACACACTTTTGAAGGAACTGAAGAACAAGGAGCAGTATGAATGTTCAGAACAAGGGGACAGCAGGCAATGGGGTTTCCCACAAGCACCCTTTATTGCAACGACATACAGATGCAGTAGCACTATATCTGTTGGCTAGGTTGCTCCTAAATCCTCCAAATGCCCCAGGTTCTCTCACATCTATAAATCTCTCACAAATACACCCCCCTTCTGCTTCCTCCTCCAAGTCAGGAAGAGCTGTGCTTTGGAACAAGATGCAGAAGCCTTGGGAAGCCCTCACAAAATTTTGATGTGCAGACAATAATTTCACTATATCAATGAAAAATTAATACACTCTAACAATAATAAAGCACAGAAAACTTTCTAATTAACAGGTGTGGTTCTAGCACTTTATTGACTGAAGAGGACCTTAAAGATTTAAAAAGAAAATAAACCACCAAGCTATACATTGCTGTAAATGTTCATCTATAGGTTATTCAGGGATTTCCAAGGGAAGAAGGAACAGGTATGGGGAAGATTATAAAAAAATTCATGAATGTCCACCTTTTTATGACAAATGAACTCATGAAGTTCAGAATCCTAAAAAATCATCTAACTTTTCCCTGAATCTATCAGTCAACCCTATACACAGAAATGGGCACTCCCAGGCAGAAGCCTTAGTCTCACCAGTTCAATAGTCTTCCATCCCCCATGGTCAACAGAAGTTTAATTAGGAGTAGACGCTTCACAATAAGAAATATTAAATAACCTACCAGCTGGAGAAGTTTCTCCTTAATTCCAGCAGCCTATGTTTGCTTTATACCCTATTGGAAAAGCTATCCCAAATAACTTTTCCTGCTTTTTTATATAACTCTGAATTTAATTGAATGTTTGCAGGACGAAAGCCAAATCCGCTATCACATCGTGCTGGATGAGAAGCTCCTGAAGAACAACCTTCACAATGGCATGCACAGGGAGACCATGCTGGGGTTCTCCTACCAGGTTGGGTTCTTCCTCCACAACAGCCAGGTACTGCTGTCTGCACTTGCTCAGAGAAAAAAGTTTCCTGCTTTTAACAAATCCAGCTTCAACTTTAAACTAACATACAGTCAACTAGAGCTGTGCACCCCACATCAGCTTCTGGGACTTCATAGTACAAAAGATGTCATTGAAACATTAAGGTTGGAAAAGACCTCTAAGACCATCAAGTCCAACCATCAACCCAATACCACCATGCCCACTAAACCATGTCCCTAAGCACCACACCTACTCATCTTTTAAATACCTCCAGATGGTGACTCCACCACTTCCCTGGGCAGCCTGTTCCAACGCTTGACAACCCTTTCAGTGAAGAAATTTTTCCTAATATCCAATCTAAACCTCCCTTGGTGCAACTTGAGGACATTTCCTCTTGTCCTATCACTTGTTACTTGGGAGAAGAAACTGACACCCACCTCACTACAACCTCCTTTCAGGTAGTTGTAGAGAGTGGTAAGGTCTCCCCTCAGCCTCCTTTTCTCCAGGCTAAACAACCCCAGTTCCCTCAGCTGCTCCTCATGAGACTTGTTCTCTAGACCCTTCACCAGCTTCATTGCTACTCAAATGCAATATTTCTCTCAGACCTGCTTAATTCAAAGTCAGTCTTAAAGAGATCTTTGATTAAATTTTATTTCAGTTATGCTGTTCCCATTTAGAATTGCATTTTAGAATCTTCTCTGGTGGGTGTGCACCTCTAGCAGCTACAGGCCTACATTGCAAAACAGTCATTAATCTGACTTCCAAGGGCTATTAGAAACCTGCCTTCAATTATAAAACATTAATTCCATTTTCTGTGAACTTACTCCACTTTCAATCTTAAGAGCTCAAAGCACTTGGCAACAAATATGATTTGTCTTTCAACAGCACTCATGGGAAAATCAGGCACAGCAAGATTAAGCAACACATCTAATTCTGTGGCACAGCTAGGAAGGGAACTTAGTCCTCCTTCTTATCTGTCCCAGAGCTCCCTCCAGGCATGGGGAAAGGAGGATGGAAAGCTTCTCACCAAAGCTGTTTCAGCCCTGCTGCTTGATCTGCTCACAGCAGAGCCTTGGAAGAAACATCTGCTCATGGGGCTGTTGCTGGTGGGGGTACAATGGGAGTGTGGGGTGGCAGTGAGATGATGAAAGCCCTCCTTGAAGGAGCAGCAGCTGGGAGGTCTTCCCTGAAACCCATCATCCCTCACAGACAGCAAACCCAGCTCTTGGCTTGCTTTAGGCTCCTTCAAAACCTTTACCCCCCCACAGTGGAAAAAGCTGCTCTGCCAAATCTTATTGCCAAGAAACTTCAACAGTCTGCATATCATCTCATGTTCTCCAGTCTAGTGAAGCTCTTAAATTCAAACCTGGGATGTGAGCAAGTGCTTGAAGTTAATGACATTCTTCAGTTTTCCTGAAGTGAGGCTCGTACATTGCTCCTGCTTTCACTCACGACTGCTGCAGTTACCATAAAGCTACTAAACAGCTCCGCTGCTAACTGATTGCATTTCTTTTGCAGCTATTCATAAATGATGCACCTATAAGCTATACAAATGTCGCAACAGACAAAGGAATTATTCACGGTTTGGGAAAAGTCCTGGAAATCCAGAAGAATAGATGTGATATCAATGATACCATGATCACTGTAAGTGGTTCTGTTCAGAGAGATCTATAGCCAAACACAGCTAAAACATACAGGATATGTGACACCATAAGGAATGCGTGGGGTTTTTTGCAAAGGATATTCCTAACAGAGTTTTAGCATCAATTAAGCCTGCGTTGAACCTGCAATCAGTGTACTGACAGCCTAGGTAAAATATTAGAGTAGCACAGGAATAAGCCATTCCTGAGCTTTAATTTTAAGAAAGTAAAAGTAATGACCTATTCTAATACACCTTCTTAGCCAGACCACTTGTTTCTAAAGCAAACAAGTGGAAAAAAAAAAATGGAAAATAAAATTTTTAATAAGGTAAATTGTTTTCCATGCCAGGAAACAAAAATTTCCTTGGAATACAGTCCCACATTTTAGTGTTTTTCACTCAAGTCTTTCCCCCAGCTATGCTCTGTCAGGTACTAACCAGGCTTCACACATAGTCCTTTGTTTTCCCATGGAAAATTATTTTCCCTGCTATGTTCAAATGCAGCAACATACTTAAACATTCATTTAAGCTTTACTAAAACTAAGCACATATTTAGCTAAACGTGAATAATATTAGGCATTTTATATTAGGTACAACACGCACCTAAGCATTTTGCAGAAACTGACCTTACATATGTGAGTCACACACACATATAACATAGGACATATACACCATATGAGTTTTCCATTTCCAAGCTGCTGTTGCCCTTTTTCCACAGGCAAACTATGTCCAAACTCAGGATTTGCCTTTTATTGTGCTTTCAATGGGGAGGCCTTTGGAAAGCATTGCTTTAGAAGAGCAAAGAGAAATACCCAGAAGAGCTTTCATTTCCTTCCCCTTGGGAGAAGGCTTCCCATGGGGTGTCCCTGCAGACCCACTGGTAGGGATGTTCTTCCTTGCTGAGCAGTCCAGCTACCCTCATCACCTTTACCAAAGAGATTACCCTAACTATACACCCTGAGGGCTAGGTTTAGAAATAAAGTTGGAAACTATGCATTTTATATTAAACAATCTGTCTGCAGCTCTGTACAGTCTGTTAATTGCAGCTCATTTGTGTTCCTTAAGGAAAAATGCAGAATTTGTTCAAAGCCAGCAAGTTGTCCCCCAGGAACAAAAGAAATAGTAAGTATTTTATCATTAATGTTATTTTTTTTTAATCATAACTGAGCATAGATGCATTCAATCCTGGTTTTAATATAACTGCCTCAGTTCCAACAAAAAGTTATCATAGTTACTTCAGCCTGCTATATAGATCGCTTACAGTCACTAGACTCAATCCACCCTGAGAGCAAAGCAGCAGAATCAAAGGTATCTTAGAGATAGTTTTACCTGGAAAGACCGTTTTCTAGTATGCACTGGGACAACTGAAGTCTCCTCAAAATGCAAAGGTTACCTCTACCATGCAAAACAGAGTTGAACACGGTCTGTAGTAGGCTTGCTGCAGGAGGAATTACAGAGCAGCTTTTAGCCCTTCAATTCAGAAATGTACAGAAAGGCAAATTCAACCTGTCCCAGCAATATGCTGTGAGCTAGAGTCATGAGATTTGGAGACTACAGAGACTTTGAGTGTTCAGGTCCAATGCATGAGAACTGCAGATATTTAGCAGCTCCCTGTCAACCATGATAAGACCTAAAGTTTCTTGGCATCTAAATTTCTCTGGGAAAGCCCCTCTGTTAGCATTATATAAGCATATTTTCTTTTAAATTTTCTTTTAAATTAACTATGCCAGTAATAGGATTCCAAAGTAGGTTAAGTCACATCCACCCCATTAAAGTGCTCATGAGTAAAACTCAAAAACATTAATATTTCCTTGACAATGAACAGCTGGATGGAGGTTTATCTCAATCTCTGAACAAGTGCACAATCAGACTGGCAAGTCTTCTTCCACAGGCAATCTTTCCCAACTGTGTCCAGACCTGGAAGATAAAGTTTCCACAACAGTTTTTGCAGAACTTTGTCTCTCAGTTTTCCAAAAAAGAATTAGGAAGAAGAGGAGAAAAAAAAAAAAGTTTGTCAAACTTCAGAAAAAAATTCTCTTCACCTCTGAGCAAAGGCAGGATTAGACACATCTTTAAAATACCACAGGGCACTGAGTTAAATTGATCATATGTTTGCTAGCAAAAATCATTTAGCCAATGCATTTTGATTTCTAAAAGTATTTCCTTCATTGTCATTGTGAGCCTAAGAGGCACAGCATGCATAAATTTAATGTCCTCTTTTTTAAAACATTTGAAAGTAGCTGATCAATATTACTTAGAAGTGTAGACATTTTTCCAATTTGCACTCAGGCAGGGGAGAAGAAATACTGCGTCCTCTCGGAAAACAACATGAGAATCTACACCATCCAGATCGGGTGCCAATCAAAGTGTGCTAAAACTATCATTGTGAGTACGTTGCTTCTGTTGCAGCAAAAGCCAGGAACCCCACCCCTGAACTTTATCCTCCTCATAATCCCCGCTAAACACAAGTGGCGCATCAAGGTGGTCCCTGATTATATGTTTATAGACCTCTGATTCTGGATGCAGCAGAGATTGGAAGGTTAAAGGCAGGTGATGGCTGCAGCATAGGAAGGGCTGGGAGCTGATGTGCTGCAGAGGGAGCACAGTTTGGGAAGGGTAACCCCATGCTTGTTCCTAGCAATCCCATCCACCTTTCCCTGGGGTGGTGGAGGGCACCTGGATCCCAGCAAGGACTTAGGGTGACAGCCTGAGCCCTGGCACAGTAAGGAGCATGGCCAGAGACCAGCAGAGATGAAATGCTGCTAAAAATCCAGATCTATAGCTCACCTCCACCCAGCAGCAGTTCCAAGAGACAATACCCAGCAGCCACGTGCTTGCTGCCACACTTGCTACCCTGAACCTGATCCTCAGCACAGCATTTCTTGGTTTGCAGACCAGGGAGTGCTGCGCAGGTTTCTTTGGGCAGCAGTGCCAGCCCTGCCCAGGGAAAGCGGGGAATGCCTGCTTCGGAAACGGCGTCTGCCTGGATGGCATCAATGGCACAGGCACCTGCGAGTGCGGAGAGGGGTTTGTTGGCACAGCCTGTGAAAGCTGCATTGAAGGCAAATACGGCCGCAACTGTGATCAAGGTACTGAGCATCCCCAGACCACATAGGCACCTTCACTAGTCTTGTCAGATTATCAAAACCTTCTCCTTAGATCTTCTAACCACGTCCATTCTGCATCCTGGAAAGGTACACCACTTTCAGGGTAATGGGCCAGTCTTAAAAATATCATTAACCCCTTTTTCTTTACCCATGATGGTATTTTCTCTACTCCCTTGTTTGGAGATGGTGTCTCCTACTCTGACATGCTACAGGCTTAAAACAGCATCCAGTAAGAATAATCCTGTAGCGCTGCTTTTTCACCAATGCTTCCCATTAAAATACAGTTTCAGTCCCTGCATTTGGGAACAGAGGAAAGGTAAGCATATTTTGAATTTAGATTTATTCTGGAGGTAGAAGCCAATAGGCACAAGCCAAAGAATTCCTTGAAATAGCCTAGAGCAGAAGGTGCAATCAGCAGAAGACATCTGGGCCATCCCTCCTGCCCTTCCTTCTCCTTGCTGCACACCCTGCCCAAGGACAGTGGTTTCCTCCCACCTTTCCCCGCAGCATGCGCTTGTGTCCACGGGAAGTGCAGCAGCGGGATTGATGGGGACGGCTCCTGTGAATGCAACGTTGGCTGGAGAGGAGTGACATGCGAGACTGGTGAGTGGCCCCTCGGTTTTTTTCTGGAGTGAGATATGAGCATTTCAGGAAATGCCAGAACTACAGCCATGACCAGACCCCAGTGTCCTACCAGATATCCAGCAGCTTCCCGCATGCACTGAAATACAGGTGACACTCCTGTGCTATGGCAACTAATTACCGTATTAATAGAGAGCCAGCCGAGATACTACTCGTGAGACCTAAATGCCTGACTTGGCTAATTCTCTACCTGTGTCACCCCGTATCTGTCTCAAAAGAAAATCCTGCTTGTTAAGGATATATACTTTGCAGGGCAGAGTTACCTAGCACATTTTGATCCTCAGATCAAAAGCTTCTCAAGTGCTTCAATATGTTGATTTAGCTGTACAACACTGGATATTAAATTATTTTCTTGCTAATACAATAAAAACTAATTAGCAAATAGATAGTTTTGTGTTAGTTTAATACAGCTCCTATATCTAATAAAGTTATATTTTAGTTATACATAATTAAAATGTATTAAATAACTGTTTCAGAACTATGTATAATACTATAAAATTAAAAATGGTATAAGCACTTTAATAATAGCATTCAATACCAGTTTTAAATTTGCCTAGGGAAAAAAATAGTAATGAAATGAACTTTGTAGTTAGAGTTGCTATACCTGAGCAAAAACCTACACTCGTATAATTAATGTAATAATGTGCAAAACTCACCAAACTAAACACAGATAAATTACGGCATGTTTTCCTGGTGAGGTGTTGACATGCGTCTTCCTCACAACTGAATTTAGGTGGTACCCCTGATCTACACAGATGGAGGCTCCAGGATTGAAAAACAAGCACATTTGTCTGGGGCAGAACTCGTCAGACTCCAACTTTATGGGGTCAGAACAAAAGACTGGGAAACAAAAAGGATGTTGACCCCAGAAGTTCTGATCTTTGTTTCATTTTTTTTTTCTATTGTAGAAATTAAAGACGACGCATGTAACGCCTCATGCCATACCAGTGCTAAGTACGTATAATATCCACTTATTTAGAAGAGAGGGGAGAAAAAGGGGATCTCTTGCCAAGCAAAAAGCATAGTCCATCTTGCTCTTTACTAAGACTTCTCAGAAGCATAGATACCATGCATGTTTTCCACCACAGAGATAAAGAGCAATGTCAATGCAACACACTCAGTGATGAAGCCAGAAAGTTCAAAACATGCATATTAAAAGGCGAAACAAATGGGAGTTTGTGGGGGATGAGAAGACAAAAAGGAGAGGGGAAAACAAAAAAGGCATCATAAGACATCCTACCATGCTGTACAGAGAAATGGAGCCTGTAGCACTAAAGAGAACAGGAGGCTAGGGCAAGACTGATCACAAAGATAGGTTTCTGAAGTGAGCTTTATCTGCTCCTCTTCCTATTTGCCCCATTCACCACCACACACATAACAGAGAAATGCTATCTGCACTAGGGACCTCACCAGAGACCTGCATTTGACATGAAACAGCTCTCCTCTTTCCATTAAAATATATTAAAAAAAAAAAAAAAACCCAAAACAAAACACCAAGTTGCTCTCAGCAGTCCAGCACCAATCCTGGGACACTAACTAGTTTTCAAAGGAGCAAATCACCCCCACTGAGCCATTTACTAAAGTGCATCCACCTCCATCACCAACCAGACAGCAAGATTTACATTACTCGAGACTTTTAAAAAACAAGGAAATTGGCTAGAAAGACTATTTTCAGCCACAGCTCTTCTGTAGGAGCAGAGAAACCAGAGGGGCAAACCCCCCTTTTCCCCCCCAATGTAGATCATTCTGTCCCCCATGTGTTTGTGAACTGGAGTTCAAAGCAGTGACATTTCACTAGACTTTTTTGGCAAAATTTCCTCAGAGGAAAACCACACATGCTGGTATCAAGACTGTTTCTGACAGGAGGAGCAGACTGTTCTTCTCTTGAGCCTTATTCATCCACTACCATACCCCTGTAGGTACAAGGATAGGCGCAGGCATGGCAGGAGCTGAGGGAAGGACAGGATTGTGCTTGCTGTGTCATGACATTTTCCCTGGGTGACACCAGGGAGCAATCCCTGTTTTATGCAGGGCTCATGGGGCAGTAAACCCATGTTTGCATACAGAAAGTCAAATTGCCCAAAAAATCCAGACTTGAACCCAGCGGACCCAGATGCCTGGCTCCCACCCCAGCACATCAGTTCTGCTGCATCCCTCAATAAATTCTGTGCACACAAACAAAAATTGGTGTACAGTTTTCAGGTGAGCAGGCATGCAGCTTCTGAAGTTCTGCATGAGAAAATAGGACACCTGATGACCAAAGTATATATATTTAATAGCAAATACATCCAAAATGCATTTGGAAAGCTTGGTCCAGCTAGGTTGATTTTTATGATTGTAACTACTCCATACCATATGGTTAAATGCCTTGTTATTTTTATGCAAAATTACCTTCAGAACAACACACAAAAACAAGGGCTGTACACAAGACCTGACTACTTTTTTTTTTTCCTCTACTTTTTTTTTTCTTTTAACGTTGTCTCCCTCATTTTACTTCTTTAGCTGCCTTCTCCTATCAAATGGCACTGCCTATTGCAAATGTGCAGCTGGGTTCGAGGGGAATGGAACATTCTGCACAGGCAAGTGGATTTTGTTTCTTCCCTTTTGAAAAAATAAAACATGCTTGAAGCACTCTGCGGTCATGTTGGAGCTGGTGAGATGAACACTTCCCTGTGCACCAGTTAAAAAACAGGAATTAATGCCAGTTTGCTCAAAATGAGTAAGAGCCCAACAGGTGCAGATTCATAGCAAACAAAGGGCTTAAAATCTCTAAGTTGTGAGGCATTGTGCTAAGAGAGACCAGAGAGAAGGGAACATGCCGTGCACAACACAGGCCCCATTGTTTGCAGAGTAATGAATCCTAGATTATGACTTTTGTTCCTTTTCCCAACAAAGCCCAGCAAAGAGAGGCCAGTTCTGGGTACAATAGCACTTCCAGCTTTTGGAACCTGTATGGCCCTACCATTTCCTCAGGTTTCTGAACTTGCATAGGATTCTGGGGTGAAGAAATCAACTTCTCCAGATCAGAGATATCTGAGAGACCCTCAGGAAGGGGCAACAGCAGCTGACCCCAGGTATCCCTTCCAAGAGTCTGGGATATCCAGACTTACAGAACAGACTGCTTCCAGCTATGGTGATTGTAATTAATTTTACAGTTGTTTTACTTAATCTTTAACTGATTAAAATACTAATTCATTTGGGAACAGAAGCATATTTGTCTACTTACAATGGCTGGCAGGATCCTAATCCAAGATTTTAGCACTCTTACTCTGGCTGCTCTCATTTTCTCTTCTGGCACAAATCAACCAGATCCATTTTAATCTGCTGGTGGGAAATTCCCCACGTGCAGGAAGAGCTGTGTGACATGGGTCACCCATAGCAGCTCTGCACTCACCCTTATTCCCCTATACAGGATTCCCAGGTAAAACTAGTTACAGGACAAGTCATGTCCCCAGCCTAACTGTTACAGATGCTGTAGCAGCAATTAGGGATCATTTAAGGAAAAAGCTAAAGCAGTGTTTGGGCTGATCTGATTCACAATGAAAATCAGAAAAGGCTCCCTCGTACTCTTAGGGTAACCCAAGCCAGTTCAATCTGTCAGCCTTCAACTCATCCAGAGCCACAGAAGTGACATGAATGTCCATCTAAATAACAACCAGGACTTTTTTGTCAGAGGAGGGGACTGGGTGATATTAGTCTCCAGATCTCCTGCAAGAGAAGGCCATTTGATCTGTGGGCAGAAAAAGGCAAGTTAAGGGAAAGGTTCAAATGTCCATTTAATCTAGAGAAGAACATGAAGGTCCCTTTTTTAACACTTGGTTAGAATGGTCAGAATCAGAAGATGGGAAGTTACTCAAAGTCAGTCCTAGATGAATTCTTATCTTCCAGACTAGAAACATCTTCCCAGCTTTCCCTCTTGTAAGCAATAAGTTGCATTAAATATCTGACACTAATGAAGTCTATAATGAAGTCTTAAATCAGGAATGTTCTGTGTTCAGAAAATGTTAGCAAATCCTTTAAAAGATAGAGACAGCTTAACCCGAAAAGCAAGAAACCATTAAAACACATTGTTTTAATCTGGGTTGTTGTCACTGTTCAGCTATTGACGCTTGCAAGAGCGGCAACAGTGGCTGCTCTGCCAAAGCAGAGTGCAGAAGAACTACGCCTGGCAATAGAGTATGTGTCTGCAATGCTGGGTACACTGGAGATGGGATAGTCTGCGTCGGTAAGCATTTGCAACGTCTTCTATATCTCAAGGAGGAAAATTACAGGAGTGAGTTTTCCTGTAGGTAGAAGATCCTTCTTCCACTATGACCCAGAAGCGCGGTTTCCTGATAGTATAGACCCTGATGCCAAATTCATCTCCACGTGCCACACAGTTGACACTACTTAGCAAACCATGTAACTACAGCAGTGTGGTGTGACACCAGAGCTTATTAAAAAAGATCTACCTCTGATAGTCCCATCTTCAGCAGTTTGATACACTTGCACTCCTGTGACCATTGCAAACTTCTAAACACCATTGTACCATACCTCCCCAGGTATGGTTTTAGAAATGCCAACAGCAGGGTTTTAGCTTTCACCTAGACAACTGTAAGACCTGGACTGAAGTATTAAGTAGCTAAGGGAATGAGTTTCATTGATTCACATTTGTCATAAACCTGTATTCCTAGTAAACAGGCTTTACTTAAAATTCTCCCCTCCTGGGTTTTCAGAAGTCGCTCTGTTTTTATTATGCTGTTTCTTTTTATAAAGAACTCAATCCTTGTCTGGAGAATAATGGTGGATGCGATAGAAACGCAGAATGCACACAGACAGGACCCAATCAAGTGAGTACCTTTGTCAGTGCAGAAAAATAAGAATGGCCAACTGTTTACATTTGGATAAAGAAAGATTTCCTCATCAACTTTGTTTTTAAATGGAAAAGTGGATTTCATAACAAAAATTCTGAAAAGTGTATGCTTCCCTCAAAAAGGTATTTGAGGGGAAGTGTGGACAGACATGAAAAAATTTATTTCAGTGAAAGAGATCCAAAACTTCAGGGGAAAGCAGTGCTTTACTGTTTCAAGTGTTTGTTTTTCATCTTTTCGGAGGTTTTCATGTGAAAACCCGTCAGTTTGAAAGTATTAGCAGATAATGTTGTTTTTATTGTTATAGAAACTGTCCACGGACAAAATCCATTTCAGACTAGCCCTTCTCCCAGCATAGCTGAAATATATTCACAAGGAAACAAAACGGGCTACAGCATACAGCCCCTCACTCCTCTGCTGTTCTGCATCTCCCATGCAGAAGTACCACATACTCTCCAAAGAAAAAGAAGTATAAAAAGACAAGTGGAAAAGGAGAAACAAACTGGCTCAGGCAATCAAGTGACACAGAGTAGCGTTTCTATTTTATAACAGTTTCCGAAACTGAACACCCTGATTGCCACACTTCTTATCATCCTCCTATAGTTTCATATTGGCTATTGGAGGGAGTGTAAACCTCCAGCTAGCACTGCACAACAGTATTCCCTCAGGAACAATGCAGAAAATGGCAACCAGGGGTCAGAGACCACCTCTTGCCATGAGGGGCAATAACCTCATCATCCCTTTTTGCCAGTACTGATCAATTAACCTTTTGCCTTGACTGTCATTTGCAAGTCAGTACATTTCTGGTGGGAGCACAGAACCAGTTAACTCCTTCCCCATCAAGGGAAATGATGGCTATTTTCTTCCATACATCCTTACTAAGGATCAAAGTAGTAGCTACCACATGATCATTTATACTTCCTTACCCATGCAAATATAGTTAACACCTGTGCAATATTAACCTCCACTACAAAATCCCATCACTGCAGAGCCAGACTTAGAGGACAGAAATGGGTCTGTTTTCTGTAGGGCTTTCAGTCATACAAATACATAAAACATTGTTATTACACTGCCTACCAGTTTTATTTCTGCTGTAGAAATCTCCTTGAATTTTCAATCTCCTACATATTAAATGTGAATTCTAAATTAAGAACCATTAAGCAGTGACTTTGAGAGGGAGATAAGTAATTTCTTTGCAGCCACATTGATTTTTCATCTTTGTAATAACTGCAAGTGCAAAACAAGTGATCATGACATAAGTGTCAAATGCATCACTACTGCATGGGAAGTTGCCAGTAACATCAGGACACAATTCCAAGTGTGTTGCGAAGCTATGTTTCATCACTTGAAAAAAAAAAAAACTGGAAGGGAAGGAAAAAGAGGGGAATACCAACCTATGCAAATAAAATGAGGGAAACAAATCAGGGATTTAGCCTGTTTTGCCAGCAAGATGACTGTGTGCAGGTGTCAGAGTGATCATTTCAAATGACCAGGACAGTAGAGAAAAGACAAGAGATGGATAGGCAGAGAAATGGCAGGTAAAGCCTCTTGGAAATTGTTATTCCCCTATCTCAGTCTACAGTTGCTCATGCTGGCTGAGAAACTGCTGCAGGAGAGATGATGTACACTGTATAACTATGAAATTATCTGGAAAAAAAGTAAATTAAATGTAAGTGTGTTGAAAAAAAGTCAAACATCTTTCCAAGTACATGTGTGTTCTGTTTTTGTTTTGTAGGCAGTGTGTAATTGCTTGAAGGGATACTCTGGAGATGGTAAAAGATGCACATACATCAGTCTGTGTTCACAAGTAAGTATCCATTTAGGGAGAGTATTTAAAGTCTTGTTATAATCATTACACTTTTGGGTTTTGTATGCATTCAAAACTAAGTCAGATATATCCAGAATCAACTTATGTTAACCTAGCTAATTTTTAAATGTGCTTAGTTCAGTACATGCTTTAAGGCTGTCACTATTTTAGAAACTAAGTATGCATGAAGGGCTTTTCCTGGACCACAGACCAAACATAACCCAAGTGAGGGCCCAGACTCATCACTAAGTCTTAAAAAAAACACTTCAGATCAGATCTAGAGAAATAGACCCTAGTCTGTAGTGGTAAAATAAGTGCTATTTTCTCAGCTAATTTTTTGTCATTACTAGAGTTCACACAGAAAGACACTGTCTAAATTTGTGCTTGAGACACAGACAGCTTACCAATATTAAAATTACTATTAAGAAAAAGAATGCAGTTTCTTGGCAAGAACAATTAAAGAGCTTCATGCAAATTATAAGAAAAAGAAGTGTTACCTGTAATAAAATAAATATTTTTATATTTATATCCACAATTCAGGTTGCTGATGCTCAGGGGCCAGTTCTAGTTGTTCTAGGAGCCAGGTGATTGGGAACCAAAGAGAACAGTCTACAGTAGATCAAAACACCTCTTTATTTTTATTATTCTCCTGTCATTAAGTTCTCTGGTGTGATTTAGGACCATATCTGTGCAGCCTAAATGAGAAACGATCAAGTGTCAGCATAAACATCCCCTTCACAGTCTGAAATTTTTCTAGCCTAACCGGGGTATCAAGTTCTCACATTGCTGCATGATTACAAGTGAAATCCATGTTGGGGCAAAGGGCCTGGACTCCCTGGAGCAGACATTTCCAGCAAAGGTCCCAGCCTGCAGGCTCACCTAGGGCAGAGCTCCCATGGGGCCAGTCAAAGGGCAGAGCCCCACAGCCCCTACAGCCATGCATAGGCTGCATCCCAAACACATCCCTGTGGATGCGCAATTCAGGATAGCAACACTGCAAACTGCAGCAGGGACAGTTTAGTGAATAGTGAAACAGATGGGTGAGATGGTGGATGGGAGAATGGAAGCCTCTCTTGATGGGGAAGCTAACGGCGGGGGGGGGAGATTCTCCACACCAGCCATTTCCCTTCTTTCCCTCCATAACACTTAGGAATCCTGTGGCATTCCTCATTTTGTCCCTGATATATCACTGCAGGCTGAGAATCAACCACGTTTGTTTCACACGATCAAGCTCACATACTGCAAGCAGCATATTTGCGAGCAACATGGTTCTCTGCACCAGCCACATTGCTCTGCTTCTCAGCAAGCTGCAGCAGGGACGTATCCACTCTCCCCTGCACATTAATCCTTCGTGCTCCAAGCACAGAGACAATAATTCTCACACTCCCAGCCTGGCCTGTCAACAGTTTCTCTAACCTTGAAAGGTTGCAGGGATGAAAGAGCAAGGGCAAAAACAAAAGCTGGGAGAGAAGGAAGTGGTGATCTTTGATTTTGTATGCTTTTGCCTTTGCCTTGTTCCAGCAACTTTGCTTCCAATTGGCTAATTATACCAGGCTAATTTTATATATACATATATATGTATATTTAAAAAATATAGTCTTGAGAAGTGTTGCTGTCAGACCAGAGGCTAATCTGGCTTCACTTTGGCAAACCTCTGTGCAGCAAAGCTTCATGGGAAGCTATGATAAACCCAAGATTGCCAACAGTCCACGTAAAGCTAGCTAAAGAAATAGCAGGCACACCCAAACCCACTCCTTACAGCCAGCGCTCACTATGGCCTGTCAAGACAGGCTTCACTGGTAGCTCCCAGGGGAGCTGCTGCTCCCACTCATGGCCAAAGGGAAAGGATCCCTGAGATGACCAGCAGCAGAAAGAAGACTGAAACAAGCACAAAGAAAGAAAACAAGATGGCTTCTCAATTTTTCCTGATTTGCTCTCAAGTCCCAGATAGAAACTTATTTGGAAACTGAGGTGCTGCTAGCTGGGGAGCACCCGATTGTGACTGGGCAGATCTCTGAACCCCAGCACACTGCTTCTTTATCTGGAACATCTCCCCTTAGCACAGAGACCTCCCTGGAGGCAGGTGGCCAGATGAGATCCACCATTGCTGGTCACACTGGTGGTGTACCCAGGGGCAGGCAGGAGATGTTCTAGAGGAGAGCACATGTGGCAGGTCTCTGTTGCAGCTGGCCTGGGCCATCAGACAGATGAAGAACAATAGACAGTCCTGTGCTAATGCTCCTCCAGAACTCCAGGCTCATAGCACCATAAAAGTGATTTACAGCTGTAAATAGTTCCTTTCAGTGTAAATCAATGTTACCTCAACAGAGCAGCAAAGACTCAACCCCAAGGTCCAGAATGAAACCTGCCTGGAAATCTTTTGTATCCTTATAACATCATGAAATTAAGATACAAGGAGGGAATCTAAACTATGTCCTCTGCATAAAAGGAGAATTAATTCTTATGAACCTTAAAAGCTCTTTATTGTTTGCAAGAAAGTACATACCGTCAGAACTTCCAGTAAAACCTAGTTTCAAAAAGCCATTAAGATTAAATCTTTCTAAACTATATACATTGAGGAAAAAATCTGTTGAACTAAAATTGTTCTGTACATGTGGCAATTAAGGAATTAAATATTTTAAATTTTGATCTTACAAGAATAATGGAGGCTGCAGTGAGTTTGCCATCTGTAATGACACAGAGCTGACAGAAAGGACCTGCACCTGCAAGCAGAACTACATTGGGGATGGATTTAAGTGCCGAGGCAATATCTTCCAGGTAAAGTGCTGTGTGTGCTTGCTGCCCCTTATTTTTCTTATAGTTATTTAATAAAATGGTTGTCTCTTGAAACATGGCAATTTTTTTCTTGAAAAAATTTGTAAATCTCCTCCAGAATTTTAAATAATCCCAATCCAAGAAACCAGGAACAGGATGCTGCAGTGGGGAGGGGGAAACACACAAAAAGCCACCAAAAAAACCCAAACAACCAACAACTGATGGACAATCATTGTGACTGCAGTACTAGGAAGTTAGCACTGCTATTGTTAGGTTTCAAAGCAGCTTGTTCTTTGATAGAGCAATGTAAGAAAAAAAAAAAAAAAAAAAAAAGTAATGGGCAGCATTCATTCCAAGACATAAATTCTCTTTCTTTTCCAAGTGCTGCATTTGTTTGTACTCTACAGATATTGGCCTACGTTTGCAGCAGTGTTACAAAGTCTTGTTCTTGGTTGCAGGAACTTCTCAGGGACTCCAACACATCTAGGTTTTATTTTCACTTAGAGGTAAGAAAAGGTCAAGTACAAACAGGAGTAATGGGCAGCATTCATTCCAAGACATAAATTCTCTTTCTTTTCCAAGTGCTGCATTTGTTTGTACTCTACAGATATTGGCCTACGTTTGCAGCAGTGTTACAAAGTCTTGTTCTTGGTTGCAGGAACTTCTCAGGGACTCCAACACATCTAGGTTTTATTTTCACTTAGAGGTAAGAAAAGGTCAAGTACTTTTTCAGGGGGGAGGATGGAGGAGTTGGGAGGCTCCCCTCTTTTTTTTTTTTTGCCTCAAGGAGGAGGCAAGGAGCAGGCATGAATCTGGCAGATACCAACATCCTTCAACTTAGTTGGAACTGGATTTGGATCATCAGTCACTAATATCAGAGATGCTCTGATTTAAACTATTAACTGTCATTAAAACCTCTTGAAAATTAATAATAAAGACTAAGATCCCAGGGAAACACCGGGCCCCCAGACCAGGCAAACTGAAGCTTTCACCCATTCAGTCTGAGATCTTCCAATACATCCCTCATTAATTCTGATGTGAGCAAATGCCACTCCTCTTCTATTACTGCTGCATTTCCAAATGGTGATGCTGTTTTCAATTGCCCCTCAGAAATGTCGCAGGATGCTGCTGTGCATTGCTGGACAGCCAAATCACTGCTAGTTCTCACTGCTTTTTGGAGACTGGCAGTAGTAATTCCTCATTTACCTTACCCTGAGCCTCAGGGCAGTGCAAACCTGTACACTGTCCTGAGATTAGGACAGAGACTCATACTGCAGCTTCGATTGTGCTACCATGGTAAAGTGATTGCTTCCTCTGACTTTAGCAGAGTTCTCGTCTTATTTTAGTTTGTCAGTGGTCACTGCAAAGTTCTTGCAATACCCCAGGTCCATTTGTCCTTCTAACAGTAATTAATCCACTCCTAGGGACAGGCAACGATGTATCTGTTAAATGCACATACAGATGCATGCATATATCCACTCTTGACTATCTCAAGATGAAAAGGTTTATTTATCTTCCTTTGCCCAGGGGGAATAGCCCTTCTCCACTCCCTGTGCTTAGTGTTTGTCAAGAGCTTTCCCTCTTCTTTTGTTCATTATTGAAGAGGAAACAGAGACTTCGCTATAAGCCAAAAGCTTCCATTTGGTACCCACGAGCAGTGGTGAGACACTGGGCTGGGAAGGAAAGTCCACACTGTACAAGAGTTTCTCTCACCTTGCATTGCAGGGAAAGGAACCCAACATGCAACAGCAACGGGGTTGCAGGCACCACTTCCCATTGAGCAGGGCTGTCCCCATCACTGCCTGATGTTATGTGCATTAACAACTCATTACTCTTGGTCCTCTTAAATTTAGCAGGCCTTGTCTATCAGAGATATTGCAGGACCTGGCCCTTTCACTCTGTTTGTACCTCACACGGACATACTGAAGAGTGACCCACGAGTAAGTAAGGCCAGAAGTTTTTTGGGGAGCTGGACATGAGTTTTTTGATCCAGATGCCTTGCTCAACTGCTTAACTCCTCCACTTTCTGCTGCAGGTCAAGGACTGGATTGCCAGAGGAGTGTTGGCCCAAGTCCTCCGGTACCATATGGTGGGCTGTGCCAGTCTGTTGTACAACGACCTGACATCAATCACCAATATCACTTCTCTCCACGGGGACCCAATACACATCAGCTACTCTCAGGTAACAGAACATGAAGAGGTAGGGGACAGAAAAATAAAATAATCTGCTCTCATTTAGCTTTTTTAAAAAGAGTGATTGGTTCCCTTTCATTCTCTGATGCACAAAAATAAATAAATAGCATTAAAAGAAGGTTACCACTCAGCTGAAGTGTTCAGCACTTCCATGTTATGCAAAGAGTGGAGTTGTACAATCCTTGCTTTGACACAAGTTATTTTATCCTCAGACTCTGGCTTTATGAGCATGATGACAGTTTGAAAAAAAGCAAAGGGCAATTTATTAAAACTGAAGCTACTGTTTGCTGCGAAGAAAGGATGGTCTGGGGTCATTGTAGCAAAGAAATTTGGCATCAGCCTCACCTACCCACAAGTTTCCACAGAAAATGTGGTTTTGTTGCCTTTCCAGAACTCGCTGGTTTTGAACAACAAAGCTGAAGTTATAGTCAGCGATGCTGTTGGCACAAATGGCGTAATCCATGTCATAAACCAAATTCTGGTCCCATCGCATATGCAGGATTTCCCCCTTAAGAAGGTATGTGCAGCTCATTGCCATTCTCAGCCCAGGGGCTTTTCCACAGTTGCTGTTAGATATATACATCATGTAAGTCACAAAAAAACAGTGACACTTAAAAGACCATCATTTGACACTGCTGAATCAGTTAAATTTTATATTTAAAATTCATTCAGGAATTACAGTTATACTAAGAACTGTGTAAGAGGTCTTCTACACAAGGCTTTTACAGTGGCATTGATTTTGTAACAAAAAGTGACTTACAGGGTAGAGCAAGCCAATATCTGCTTTTTAAATACCCAGATAATGTATTTATTAGATAAGTTACTGAATGTGTCTTTCTTTGTAGGAAAGCCTTAAAATGGTTGCAGCCAAACATGGGTACATCCTGTTCAGCACCTTGCTAGAGGTAAAAGACAGCAACCACTGGGTAAAGGTTTTGAACGCTTTTCTTAAAGACAAGAGCACAGATATGGTACATGACATCACTGGCAGCATGGCGTTCAGTGGAGCCAAAGGGCTCACAACCCAGGTCACCAGGTGGTCCCTCTCCCACAGAGGTAGGGGGATGTCAAACAGACCCACAGCCACCTTTCTCCTCCCCACTCAGCTCTGTCCTACCATAAGTCAAACTATATGGCCAAGGTTTGACCCACATATGACTTTTTGAGTCCAAAGTTGGGCCATCAGCCTGTTTTTCAGTGGGCAGTCCTAGGTGATGAAGCACTTCTGACAATTCAGTCATGTAACTCAGTTTGGGCAGCTCAACTCAGCCATCTGTTTTTTAAAGTCATGATGTTTGCAGGCAGGTGACCAGTCAGCACACAGGCCACTGCATCCCAGTTACACCAGACCATAGAGTCAATGTCATTTCAGATGGAACCTTAACCTTCCACTCTAATTTTTGGTATGTTGCAGAAAAACAACCTGCTTGGGCTGATCAACGATCCTATTCACAAACCCGTCACGCTCTTCTGGCCCACAGACACAGCTATCCGTGGGCTGCCACAGGAGCAGCAGGACTTCCTTTTCAAGAAGTCCAACACAGACAAACTGGTGCAGTACCTTAAATTCCACATCGTCCGTGACGCTGCTGTAAGCCTTTGCTTTTTAGGAGCGTTGCCAAGGCCAAGATGTGCAAGGTCAGACACCTGCATCTCCCTTCTTTCCTTCCCAGGTGTTGGCCTACCAGCTACCCCACTCCACCTCACTGAAGACCCTGCAGGGCTCCAACCTCAGCATTAGCTGCGGGGATAACGGGGAGATTGTAAGTGTTTACCCTGCCGACACATTTACCCCTTGCCCCTGCTGCAGGATCCACTCATGCAGACCACACTGTGCCTCTGCACAGCCCCCAGAAAGGGTCAGTGGCATCAAAACTCAATTGATCTTTGCCAGACCATGCCAACAGCCGCAAAATCAGGGCAGCCACTCCAACAGATTCAGCAAGCTAGATGCTTTGTAAGACTCTTCAGAGCTGTCATTTTCTCTGTTGTAAGATGCTATTTGTTCAAAACAGATCTTGGTTACCTCAAAACTGAAATACCAGCACGTTTTAACTTCTCCTACAATGACTTACACAATGGAAAACTATTAATAGGAATCTGACTTTGGCAGAAGCCCCATGAACGTAGCACTTGTATGCAAATTCTTGTTTGTAAGTACTTACAAGCTAAGATTGCAGGCAAGCACATAGCCTGTCAAGCCACAAAAACAGCACGTTTTTCTTTGCAAATGTACCACATCATACCCACATAATCCTTGGCAAGAATATGCTTCTGAAAACATGGCTAAGCCTAAATGTGAATAAGGTAAACTTGTGGACATCAGGATGGCATACTCTGCCTGCTTCAGGAAAGGAAAGAGATTTGCCCATCTGTGATGTTACAGCATTCAACTATAGGAAGAGAGGTCCTCAGATTGGTTTAGAGAAGTAGGATAATCTCTAACATCCATGCAGGACCTTGATTCAGCCTAGCCCCAAGGAATACTGTCTCATGACTTGTCACGCTCCCCTCTCCCCATCCCATCTCTCAGGGTGCACTTTTCCTGAACGACAGACATTGTAAGATAGTGCAGCGGCAGCTGGAGTTTGATGGGGGCATCGCCTATGGCATCGACTGCCTGCTGATGGACCCCAGCCTGGGGGGACGCTGCGACAGCTTCTTCACCGTGGATTTCATGGTCAGTCTCCTTTTTTGGTCCTCCACTCTCGTAAAGACACAGCCCAAGGGCCAAACCCTGCCCACACGGAGACCAGGGCAACACTTGCAGCATCTTTGGTACTACTGAGATTAAGTTCCACCACTTCAGGCTGGCTTCATCTGCCATGCTGGTTAGAGCTAAACTTAATAAATGCAGCACTATACCTGAAATACACAACAGAAATCCCACATCCACACTAAGCAACACATGGGATAAGCGGCCTTGGTTAAGAGCAACTTAGCAAGCCCTGACCTGTTTTCAGTAATTTTACTCAGACCAGAACAGCACCTTACAAATGCAAGCATGAATATGAGCAAAGATGGATTTTCCTAGCATGCTTTTAATTAATACATTTTCACCCTACGAATGTGGTCATAGAGACTGTATGTACAAAGTTCCCAATTACCAAGGAACAGCATTGCTGTCCCTTCTGCGCAGGGTATTAAGGACATGAGATAGAGAGCTGGCCTCTTAGCCAGGCTCTCCATCTCCCACAGAAATATCTTTTAGCACACCTAAACAGGCACTGTTAGTGTGGAAGAAGTTTCCCCTGTGAACTTTGATGTGTCTCACAAACAGGAAGTTTTTAAACTCATTTTGAAATGGTTCCAAGACCAAACTTGCTTCAGTTTCATTCAAGTGTATGAAAACATTACCTAGAAGTAAAAAAAAAAAAATAAAAAAAAAACCAAACACGTAGTCAGTCTTTAAAAAAGCTTATTGGAATTTATATTTCAATTATAAAAGCAACACTTGTGTGCATCCCATCTGCTCAAGGTACCTTTTGTTTCATGATTTTTTTAAACTGAATAGATATAATTTCCTCAGACCTTGACAGTGCTTCCCGAGAAGTAACCATTTACCTCTACTCCAAATTAGACATCCAGATCTGATGCAGCTCATGTCAATATTTGTTTGAAGAACATCCATCATCTTTTCCCTGCTTTTTTAAATCCAGAGCAAAGTTTCTTCTTCCAGAACTTATATTCCGGTACCAAAATTTATTTCTTGCCTGTCATTGCACTAAATTAATGCAACTATTTTATTGTCATTCTCCTCTCTTCTTTCTCCAGGGTTCTTACCATCTCTTTCAAGCATAAGCCCACACTCTTCTATGCTCATATTTGCTGCTTTCATAAAACAGACTTTTTGTCCCTTTCAAATAGCCTTTTGTTGCCATTATTTTAACATACTTTTTTCTTTTTCTTTTCCATTTTGTGCAACAGGGGCATTGTGTTAGCTGTTTCAGTAATTCTAAATGCCCTCCAGGGACAAAACCAAAGGTAATAATACATTAAAATCTTACATTTAAGCAGTCTAACCTGCTCTTCTCTATACTTTCTGTAAGCAAACTAGAATAAGTTACTTTGAAAAATAAAAAGAGAACCCTCAACAGTGAAACCACATTGTTAAGTGATGCCATAAAGCCTCTGGGACAAAGTTGTCCCTGGGCAAACACCCAGACAGTGGTGGTAGGGCACACTTGTCTGTCTCACACAGCATCCACTGTAGCGAGTGCTTCAGACAACTTTGGAGGGCTCCCTCCCGCCTCATTAATGGTGCTTAGCAAGTTTGGAATAAAAAAAAAAAGGCAGAGGCCTCACACTCACACTCTTCACACATCACATTTTGATTCAATGTTGTTGTGGTTTAACCTGGCCGGCAGCTAAGCACCACACAGCCTCTCGCTCATTCTCTCCTGCCCCAGGGAATATGGGAGAAAATCGGAGAGGTGAGGAGACTCATAGGTTGAAATAAAAACAATTTAATAAACAAAATAATATAAAATTTAAATAGTAAAAATAATAACAGAATATACAAAAGAGCGATGCACAGTGCAATTGCTCACCGCGCACCAACCAATGCCCAGCCCATTCCCAGATAGCAGGGAGGAGAGAAAAATCCCAAAACTGCAATCTTGGAAGAGAGAGAGAGTGCATTTTCCAGTCAACCCTCATTTATCTACCAAATATGACATTACACGATATGGAATATCCCATTGACATATACAAATGTCAATTTGGATCCATTAATCTTACTACACTCTCACGGCTTCTTCTGCACCTGTAGACTAGCAAAACACGGGAAGTGGGAAAGACCTTGATTTTCCAGCAACAACTAAAAACATCAGTATATTGTCAACATTCTTGTCATACCAAATCCCACAATGAATCCAAAATACAGTGCTGTTCTAACTACTAAGAAGAAAATTGGCTCTATTGGAGCCAAAGTCAGGACAAATTTATAGCAGAAACTGTGATTTAAAGAGGAAAAATCCCAAACATCTATATAACACTCATCTAACTGTGTTTTCCTCCCCCTCTCTGCTCTGCCACATGTGATGCCCAGGAAGGGATCCACTGGTGCACATACGAGTCCTATGGGCTGCGGAGGGATGGCTGCCGTAGGAACTGCTCCATGGTCATCCACACAGCCAAGTGCTGCAAGGGCTACTTCGGGCCAGACTGCCAAGGTAGGACCTCCCAGAGCACAGCTGGGTAGGGTCCAGCAAGCTCAACTGTGAGAGCTGGGATAGAGGGCATGAGGAGAGAGCAGCCACAAGATGGGGGAACTCTTACAAAAGCTGAAGCACATAGAAAGTATTATAGCATTTCCACTCCAAATAATCTTTTTCACATTTACAGCAAGTTTTAAACTCCATGCTAGTAGAAAACTAAGTGAATGCTATGGAGAGTAAAGACTGCTCTGCTGTAACCAAACCAAATAAGTCTTAATCAGTCACCAGCTAAAGTCCTTTCAACACAAAAACAGACATCAGGTTCATGACCAGGGCACACCAGAGACCCTGTGTATGGTTCCTCAGCCACCTGCAAAGCACACACACCACAGGTGTAAGCTCCGAAATTGTAGCTTTAACCAGGTGTGAGACAGTTTAGGAAGCTTTATCTCCAGCTGTTTGTTAGCAGACATTAACAAACTGTGTGCTCCTTCACCTGCCAGCCCCACGGGGGAACAGTACCAAGACACTCGCCGGGGCACGTAGGGTGCACGTAGGGTCAGAATCTCTGCTGGCAGACAGGTCCAGGGACATGGGGCCCTGCCAGCTCACTCTGTCCAGATTTCACAGAGAGACACACAGGGGTCCTGAGCAGTTTTGGCCAGTGCAGCCTAAGCTGCCCTTTGGGCTCACTGGCACATGGAGGTGCACAAGCAAAGCTCGATCTGGGCAGGTGGGCAGTGCCATTCCCTGTTGGGTCTGAATGAACAAGCACCCAGGTAACAGCACCCAGACCCACAGCGCCTTTCTGACAAGGGTTGTCAAAGTATATCAAGGAATTTGGAGCAGGAAGCTTGCAGTCACAAGTGTCACAGCTGCTATTACATGCCCCAACAGAGATGCATTTACAGGTCTTTCCCTGTTTAAGGATTTTTACGGAACAATGAATAACAAACAGTGACAATGAATAACTGTGCACTTGAACTTAACAGCCACTTTTCTTTTTTTTTTTTTTTTTTTTTTTAAAAAAAACTTTTTCAGCTTGCCCAGGGGGCTCAGAAACCCCATGCAATAACCACGGCTCCTGCCATGATGGGTACACCGGAACAGGAGAGTGCCGCTGCGACAGCGGCTTCAACGGGACTTCATGCGAGCTGTGTTTGCCAGGCAGATATGGCTTCAACTGCAGGGGTATGTTTAAGTTACCTTTCCATATCACTGCCCACAACAAGCCTGAACTATTTAATGAGAAATTATTTTTTAAGTAAACCAAGAAATGCTTCCCACTTTCAACACCAATATTTTTCCCAAGTGCCTTCTCACATGGAGGGATGGCACAAGGTCTTAGAAAGCAGCAGGGGGCAGAGGCGTATGGAGCTTTCACTGCAGGGCTCCTCCTGTTCTTTTAGGGTGCAGAAGTAACATGGAATAGAGACAGAACTTCCATCAAGTGCTTTCAACTACAGCATAGCCTTCTCCCTCAGCTGTGTAAGGCAAGACAGCATTTTAGCAGCGTGGTTCCTCAAGGATTGCAGGATGCCAAGGTCATGCACTTTGCATGAAGAGAAGCAAAAGGACAGAGATGAAGGCAGTTTGTGAAGAGGAACAGCAGCCAAGAAACTGCTCATACAATCCACTTCACTGTGGTTTTAAGTGTGAACCAGGAGGAACTAAGATTGCTATCACCATTTATACTTAAATGCTTTCCCAACATAAAGCATTCAGATGGGAAGCTACAATATTAACACTTCCATCCTAACCATGTGCACCTGTAGTACTTGTGAGGCACATAGGATGGAAGGCTGTAGGCTAGATACCCTTGCAGTGTAAGCAGGACATCAGGCTTGTACACCAGTGCTCAGGATTATGCTTACCTACAGTTTATCCATTTTATAGCACACCATAGCATAAACTACATGAGCTGTTAGTCTGAAACCCAGACTGTGGTATCTAACAGAAAAGTTTTATAGGCACTTTTTTTAATGCATATTTATATCAGCCAAAAAGTAGGTAACCAAGCTAAATGAAATAAAGCCAGAGGATTAAACTCCTTTTCA